AGCGCCTGCCCCCCCCCCCCAGCCTCTGCCTCCCACCCACATCCTCACCCAGGTTCTCCCGCAGCAGCCAGGTCAGCACTGAGTCCCGGTAGGGGATGAAATCTGTCTTCTTTTTCTTTTTGTTCTGGGGGACAGAGAGCGGAAGGGAGGGCTGTCAGGCTGCCTGCCCGCTTCAGAGGGAAGGTGGCAGCCAGCCCCCAGCCACGGGGACTTGGGGGAGGATGGCTCTGCCTGGCCACCACAACCCCAGGCAGCCCTGCTCAGCTCCACAGTCCCTGCCTCAGCCAGGACGGGTGTTTAATGCTGGGTGCCGAGAGCCGCAGCATGAGGAGGGTGACGAGGATGCTGAGGGCTCTGCCAGTCCCCAGGTAAGAGTGGCTTGGGTCTGGGCAAAACTCACGCCCAAACCACCCTGCGACCCACTCAACCCACCTGTGCTAAAACCCACCCTCCCTCTTCCCCAGCCCAGCCAGGGCACCTACCTTGTTTGGCCCCGAATCCTGCAAAGAAAGCAGAGAGACCGTTCACGTGAGCTGCTCCCCACCTCGGCACCCACCACAGCTCCCCGTCCCCGGGGAGACAGTGGCCTTGCCAGCCCAGCTCGCCCCAGCCCCGGGATGTGTCTGCCCATCCCTGGGAGCCAGGATGCTTCACTCCTCGGGGCTGAGCCCACCCCTGCCGAGCCCAGCCTGTTCCCCTGTGCTCTGGCCACCTACCATTTCAGCCAGAGCCGAGATGACCTTCCCCAGCGTGGTCAGGGACTTGTTGATGTTTGCTCCTTCCTGGCAGAGAGAGGAAAAGCCCAGGCACTCAGGCCCTGTTTCAGAGCGGCACTAAAGTCTGGTGCACCAGGGGGATGGGCAAGTCCCAGTATAGGGTGGGCAAACAGCAGCTGGTCTTACTGGGCAGCCAGCATCTCCAGCTGGGACCCACAGGCCCCAGTGGAACTGGCACTGGGCAGCTTTCAAACAGAACCCCACCAAGGATTTTGGCAGCGCAAGGGGCAAGAAACCAGGCACGGAAAGATGTCGGAGCCGGGGAGGAGAGGGCGGGATGTGGTGTCCCCACTGGCAGACAGGGACCCCCGCCAGCTCTCACCTTTAGTCGTGTGCCCTTCGCGCCGGTGGAGTCAGCTCGCTCGCTCCCTGCCAGGTCCACCAAGCTGATTTTGCTGACCTGCAGGCAGAGACGGGGCTGTCAGCCCCGCAGGCACGGCAGCCCGGGCCCCGCACGGAGCCGAGGAGGGAGCAAAGACCTCCTGCAAGGCGACACGGCTCTGAAGACGAGGTGGGTTCTGCAGTGTCATCCCTGCTGGGATTCAGCTGAGGCAGGGCTGGAGGGCGCCAGCTGCCAAACACCCTGTCCAGGGGCTCATCCCTCAGGGGACTGCACGTGCACCCGGGACACACAGCTCGCCTGCTTCAACCCTCCACCATGCCCCACCATCTCATCCCAAGCACTGCCGATAGCACACGAAGTCCTCCCCAGCCCCCCCGAGCAGCCCAGCTCTGCTCTCACCTTCTCAGTGGTGATGTCCGTCTCCGCGTCATGCCGCTTCTGCGTGAAGATGATGTTGAACACGGCGTGGGAGCGGCTGCTGGTCTCATTCATGTTGGTGGCAGCCACTGTGCTGCGGGGAGAGAGGCACAGGGAGGTGTGACCCTCTGCAGGGGACACCGGAGTGGTGGAGGCTGGGGCCAGGGTCATTTCAGGGCAGGGAACATGACAGGAAGGCAAGTTTGGAGGGCAAGAAAGGGCTCTGGGAGGAGACATGCAAAAGTCCAGGCTTTCTCCTGCTGGCTCCAGGGCGTTCTGAGAGCAGAAAGGAGGTATGGTGAAAATAAGAGGGGGGTATCCAACGCTCAGATAGGAGGGGGCTGCTCTGTCCAGAGCAGGCAGACCAGCAACACCAGGAAGCTAAGCAAGACCTTCTGGAGATGCCTGCAAGCTCTCCAAATCCTGGCCATCTTCCACTCCCCCAACTCACCGGGCCTTGTTGCCAGAGTCCATGAGGTCCTGGATGTCATTGTAGGAGGTCACAGCCAGCTTGGAAAGGTCCTCAACGTACGGGCCCATAAGGGGATGCTCCCTCACCCTCAGGTTCCCCTTGTTCTTGGGGTTCAGGAGGTCCCTCACACGCTCGCAGTAAATCTCCATGTAGCTCACCTACAGCAGAGGGCACAGGCAGGGCTAGCGGCCAGCAGGACACGGACGCTCAGCACCTAAGGCAGAATTAGGCCCTGCCCACCCACCCCACAACCAGGGACAGGGCCCCCCAAGAAGGGGTCTGCAGGCCAGCATGGCTTGCAGAGCCGGGTGGGAGGCTGGGGCTGGACTAGGCGGGTGCAGGGTGCCTACCTCCACGGAGTAGGACATGTTGTCATTCGTTGTGTCATTGATGCGGGAGAAGAGGTCCTCGCACAGCTGCGGAGAGAGGAGCCGGGATGCTCAGGCCCTGCCAGCAGGATGCTCCTGCCCAGGTTGCCCGGGCCACAGGGATTTCTACCTTCTCATCCCAGAAACCAAAGTCCCCAGGTGCTGGGACAGCTCCTGGAGAGCTGGCAGAACCCCCCCTGCTGTTACGAGGGGCTCAGCATCCCCAGGGCCCCCCGGCACCCTGATGGGCCAGTGCGTGGCAGCTCTCGGCAAGCGTGGCAGGCAGGGGCTGAGCGCTTGGGCTACTGCTGCTCACAAACACTGGCCCCATCTGGCCAGACCATAACCCACTCATCTCAGAGGAATCTGGAGTGACCCTCCCTGTCCCCCCACCCTCCGGCAGAGCCGTGCCGGCTTGCTGCCGCCCAGGGCTGTGGTAGACCTCAGCAGAGCCTGGCCCCACTCCCGCGCTGCTCCCATCTTCCATCCCCACTCTGCTTTTCCTTTGGGCGTCCCGCGGGGACCCAGGGAACAGGCAGCTCTCCACCAGGCGGCACCTGTGGGATGATGCCTTGCTGGTCCTTCTCCTGCTTCCCCATCATGGTGTAGGACTTTCCAGCACCCGTCTGCCCATAGGCAAAGATGCAGACGTTATAGCCTTCGAAGGCATGCTGCAACATCTCCTCGCCAATGTCCCGGTACACTTGCTTCTGAGATGCATAGTTGATGTCTGCGGGCTGCAGAGGGGGGGACAAGGAGAAATTTGATAGGGAGGTCCTCCGGCCTCTCCCCAGCCCAGCACCCCAGCCGGGCTCAGGCCCCTGCCACTTACTGTGGTGTGGGACCAGTAGGAATAGTCAAAGCTGAAGCTTTTTGGTGTCTCTTTGGGCTGCTTCGGGTTCAGGATAGCTAGGGGCAAACAGACCAGAACGTGAGGCCACCCGGCCACCCATGGTACCCCCACCACCCATATCACGCCCATGAGAGGAGAAGGGCAACGGGGGCCTGTCCAAATCGGCCCTGGAAAGCAGGACTGGGACCCTCCAGCTCTGCAGATGGGTCCAGAGCCCCCAGACCCCCAGGGGCCCAGTGGAGGAGGTGGGTGCCATGGCCAGCAGAGCCTGCATCAGCCCAGGGAGCAGGGCAGAGCTGGGTGCAGGGCGGGGGAAACAGCTCCTTCCTTCCCTTGGGCTCCTTCCCGCAGGAGCCCAGCACAGTGCGGGGGGGGGTCACAGCCTTTGCTCACCCCACAGCCTGGGGAGCCGTGCCTGAAGCCACAAGCACTGGGGCTGTGGGGTGGGAGCAGCCGCGGCCCCATCAGGGTTCCCCCAGCCCCCTCTGGCTCCTGCCTCTCCTCTGTGCTTCTTTTGGGTACCCAGCCCCAGCAGGGTGATTAATGCCTTGTGTTATCCTGCCAGCGGAAACAAGAGCCTGCGTTTTCCCATCCCCTGGTGAAAAGGACGTTGCCATGGAAATTGGAGACTGCATCATTTCTCTTCCTCACTCACCGCTTTTTTTCCCCCCATAGAGCGTTTACGATGGGTTTTTTTTCTGAAACAACAGATGCGTCAGAAGAAACCCAAACCGGTGGGGCATCACGAGATCCAGCCATCAGCCATGCCGGGTGACATTGAAACGACCTTGCGGGCTGGCGCAGCACAGCTCCCGTGCCCACATCCCCCAGCTGCTCCCTGCCACCGCCAGGGATGAGGAGGCCGTACAGCACCACGGCCAGTGGGGATCCCCCCATTGCAGCCCCAGCCTGCCCTGCCCTGGGGTCGGTGCTTGGCCAGGGCTTGTGCCCACTGGGGATTCAAGCTGGGACCTTCCCAAGCAGCCCCAGAGACAGCGCAGCCTGCTCCCATGGGGCCGACGCTCCAGCGTGTGGCATTATGGATACGGATGCTTTCTGCTCCAAATTCCTTCTCCATTGCCACGAGAGATTCTCCCCTGGGAGGGATCCACCACTTCTGGCCTGAGACCCATCCATCCCTGCCCGCAAGGGCAGTGAGGTGGGTGGGCGGAGAGCGGGAATCGGGGTCCGGATCCAGCCCCAACCACACAACCACAGCACGGGGCTGCTGGAACGCCCCTCACCGTGGGCAGGAGCCCAGCTCCAGCACCGCAGAGGGGCCAGGCGCTGGCTCCCACTGGAGGTGTCGCAACTGGGATGCTCCGGCTCCTGCATCCTGCCTGAGCTAATTAGCAAAGCCAGAGCTGCGCTCTGGTGAGAAAGGGCTGGGAAGCGACATCCCCATAGCCACTGCCCATCCTGCAGCTGCACATGGGGACTTGGAGGTCCCTGCTGAGATCCAGACCGCAATGGCATGAGGCCTTCCCAGGCAGCGGGGGCAGGCACGGGGGCTGCCCGCCCCTGCCGGTGCCTGGGGGGGGCGATGTTGGGGGTGTGTGGGCAACCATTGCAAAGAGAAGCGGGTGCGGAGGCCATGCAAGAAGCCGGGTGGAACATGGCTGATGGCTCCGGGACTTCACCCGGCAGCTCTGCCATGCCACCCAGCCCCCCAGCTCTTGGCTTGGGTCTGTCTCTGCCCTGCAGAGGTGACCCTTGCCAGAGTGAACAGGAGCATCTTCCCCCCCAAAAATGAGTGCAACAGGGCAAAAGCAGGAGCAGGCGGGATGGGCTGCAAGAGATGCCTGTTCTGCGTCCCAGTGCCAGCCCACGCTGGGCACGGGATGGAGGAGCAGCCGGGGATGGCACCAAGCAGCTCCGGGCATCCCAGCTGCAGCCGCCCAGCTGGGCCAGAGACCAGGACACAGTGGAGAAGGGAGCACCCAGAGAGCCGCAGGCCTCCCGTCCCCGAGCCGAAATGTTCTCCCCGCTCCCGTTTATTTGCCCCCACGTGGCTGGATGCTGCTGATGGGTTCTTCCCTCTCCTGTGACCAGACATCCCAGGGCTTTTGCAAAGCTGCCGCAAAAAGATTGGTGCTCTGGCCAGAGGGGATTAAAAAAGGAGGGGGGGAGGGGAAGACAGACACACGGACAAGGCGAGGAGGAGGAAAACATCTGGAGATGATCCTCACCTTCACCCCGAAGAGCCAGCAGCATGGCAGAGGGCAAGTACAGTGCAGGATAAAACCCAAGACCCACAGGAGAGAAAATAGCTGTCGTGTTGTAAAGCCTGCGGAGGCACGGCTGCGGCCAGAGAACATCAATGGCCCCGCGGGTGAAAGCCGGGGTCCCCTTCCTCACCCCCCTGGCAGCAGCTGCTGGGAGATGGGCTGGGGGGTGTGTGTGGTGCCTGGGCTGGTCCCCACAGAAATGCAGAGGGGGGGACCCCATGAGAACAAAGCAGCAGCGCTGGCGGGCAGTGAGCTGAGGGGGTGGCGGCTGTAAGTTTGGGGGGAAAGGACGGCAGAGAAGGGCTGCCCCCAGCCCTCCTTGCCCCCCCCCCGGGCTTAATGAATCAGGTAGAAGAAAGACCTCCCCTGCCCTGGTACCCGTGAGGGTCTCTGCAAATAATCCCAGCCGGGCTTAATGAATCAGGTAGAAGAAAGACCTCCCCTGCCCTGGTACCCGTGAGGGTCTCTGCAAATAATCCCAGGAAGGGGGAAACCTACTCTTACCCGCCCCCCTCGATTTTTGGCTTCTCTTCAGGGAGCCAAGAGCGGCCTGCTCTGCGGGGGGGCGCCAACTACTGGCACACCCTCCCACCCCCCTCGCAGCCAGCAGAAGCGGGGACCAGAGGCCCTCCCCGTGCCTGCCCCCAGCCCTGGCCAAGGGGATTAGCCGAGGGTTTGTCTATTCATGGAGAAAAACCTCGCTGTCAGCGAAGGGCTGGCTGAGGTGCAGCCCCCCCTGCCCT